TGCCTTTATTTTAAATATCCAGTACTAAAGAGAATGGTAAATGCCTTCTGCATAATTTTACACTAATTATGAGTTCATCTTATTAAAATACATTATCTGTCTCAGATCTTGGATACTGCATTGGAAAGACCATCTCTAGCCTCTTGTGTGAGGGGGAGGGGGCAGTAAAGACTGTGGAAGTGGAACTGCCTATCCCTTCAGGGAACTGAATTAGAGCTCTGAATTCAGTTTACAAAGGAAGTGTTTATTGACCTCCAAAATTGTATGAGAAATGCTGCTCAGCACTAATGTTCAAAGACAAATAGTTTGGTTTGCTTCTCCAGTGTAGACAACAGAGTATCGCAAGCCTCTGTGGCACATTCAATGATAAAGGCAAGCACCAATGTCAGGGGAACCCCAGAGGGCAGTTGAGCCAGTGGTAGGTTCCAAATAGAATTCCAGAAGGTCATGAAGCTCAAGGACTAAAGAGGCATCATCAGGTGAAACACTAATAGAGTGAGAAGAGAAATTTTGGAGTCAGGAAAAAAATTATAGCCCTGGCCAGTACGACTCAGTTGGCTGGGCATCATCTTGCACACTAAAAGGCTATGGGTTCAATTCCCAGTCAGTGCACATGTCTAGGTTGTGGGTTTGTCCCTGGTCCAGACACCAGGAACAACTGATCAATGTTTCTCACATCAGTGTCTCTCCTCCTTTCCTCCTCCCTCCAATCCCCTCTCTCTAAACCCTCTTTTCCTTCTACTCTCTCTAAAAGCAATGAATAAAAGTGTCCTCAGGTGAGGATAAAAAAAAAGAAATTACAGAGGCATGTGTAAGCAGAGACAAAAGCAGGTGAACAAATAGCATGAACTTATAGAGGGTTATAAAAAGCCAGTGATAATTAACATGAGTACACTCGGAACATTTTGGTTAAAAGCATGGGTTCTAGAGCCAGACTGTCTGATTCATAACCCAGCTCTGATCCTACTCATTTCTAACTGTAAGCCATTTAACCCTTTGTCTGTTCCCTCTTTTATAAAATAGGAATGAGGATGATAAGCGTATGCCTAGATTAATGTGCAAGATGCTTATACAAGCAATTGACATGCAGTGTTTAATAAAAGTTACTGTCATTATTTTTAAACAAGAAGGAGAAAACTGAAGCCCACCTGAAAAAAAATCAACACTATCCCTAACCTCAACCTGTAGTGTCACAACTGACAGGAAACAAGAGAAGACCAGGACTAACAACGTGACTGTATTTTTGAGGTCCATCACCACATGTATGTGACAACAGCTCAGTAGCACCAACTTTCCTTAAGGAGCAGGTACAAACATTTATACTCTGATTTTGAATGGAACAGCTTTTGTGCTCTTTGCTCTGTAGTGACTGGCATATTGCCAATACAAAATAACTAATTCAAAGGCATCCTGTTTCAACTTTACAATACAATATAGATTCTCTGTTAAAAAGCAAAGCCTTCATTTCAAATTGTTGACTCAGATAATGCTTTAAAAAGAATATCAGCTGTTTAAATTTAGCATGCTGAGAAAGACCAATCATGAAATATTGTTTGACTTTATGGCCGTCGCATTTGCATTTTATTCCTTGTTTGTCTTCTGTGAGAAAATGATGAGTGACAGGAATCATGTTATTCTGTTTAACACTTCAAATGTCACCTAAATGAACAACTTTGTTTTTATCCTTACCAGTTAAAGTTGTCCTTTAATTTCCTGGCAAATTTTCACAAAGTGATTATGCAAGAACCAGTGATATTTCCATGAACAGTTTTACTTCTTCAGTCATCCTCTGGTCTTTCTCCTCCACTTTCCTTTGAATCGTCATTTTTTTACTCTTAAAAAATATGTAAAGGAGATCATCTGAAGTCAAGACCAATCTAAATTTTATAATGAGACCTTACAACTATTTAAAGAAATGTTTTGAGTCTGGGCTTTATCTGTGACTTTAAGAATCTTCACATGCAGCCCAAAGAGTTTGTGTTTAAGACTCCCACAGGGCACTGGATCTGGACAAGGTCTCATACCAGCCCTTCCATCATGATTCCCTGTTTTCCTTTCATCCTTCTTGGTGTTTGGATCTCTCAGCTCCTCTTTTCCCATATTAATTCCAACATCTTTCCTGGCAAAGATGTCCCCAGCTGCTTCTCCACAGTTCATGAAGCCAGAGCAGAGCACTAAAATTGGAATGGTTAAATATGCCAAGTTTTGGGGTCAATTTAGTTCCCAATTTATGTAGATTCAACCTTGAATATCAGGAGAGCAGGGAATTCTCCCAGTTGGTATGATTTCTCAATCCCTCTCAACAATAGACTCAGTCCACTTGATCCATAACAAAACAAAGTGTCAAAGTGATTAAGAGTTAGACTCCTCACACCTTCAGGCTAATCCTAGCCCCCCACTTACTAAATATGTTGCTTTAGGCGGTTTGCTTATTCCCTCCAGGATTAATCTCTTATGAATGGGAGAGAATGCCATCTCCCTGCTGCAGCTGTTATCCCATACGTGACAAGACTTCCTCAAGTGCTTAACCTAGTACCGGCCAGAGGTGCACTCATGATAACTGGGAACTATTCATGCATTGCGTGGTGAGTAAATCACACATGTTATCAAGGTGCTGAACCTACATTATAGTTATGCAAGGCTGAATAAGTGCATGGGGTTATGACTTGAGGTAAGATTTTTGTGTTGGTGTTTTGTAAGAGAGGGGAAATGCCAGAGACGAGAAAGGGGCAATTGAAAGTGGCTTCTTTAAAATTTTGCCTGGAGCTTCCCCCAGGCAGGTGCTCATAGGCCAAAGGTATTACACTTATGAGAATGTTGCAACAGTATCATGCACACATCCATGCAGTTCTGTTCCCAAAGCCAGCCAGGAGAAACGTTTAGGATAAAATATTATTAAAATGTCATTTCAAGTGTATATCTCTGCATCATAGTCATGAGTAGTAGGCAGAATTAAATTGAGGCACCAGCAGTTATCTTTGCCTGGCTTGTCTGACTATATGTATGTATTCCTTCTTTCAATAATGTGCAAGGAAAAGCATGACTCATAAATACTTGTTTAAGTCAGGCGCTGCCCCAGCAAAATGTACCAATGCTTTAAAACTTAAAGTAATTGTTTTATTTCAAAAATAGTCTTTAAAATCTTCTCAGACAGGGCATGAAGTTTGCTTACCAGTAAAACAACCAAAATGAGTCAAAGTTATTACTAAAACTCAAACCCCACCTACCTAAGTTTCTATCTTAAAGAAGTTTTGACAACTTCCTGTTCAATCGAAATTCTTAACAATTCCAACCTGACTTATCTTCTTGATGGCTAAACATGCCATAGGTTCAGTAATGATCTGTTCTAGAGTACCAGGGAACTTTTCGCAACTCGCTCCAACCATATTATTTGAGTTTTGGGGTACGTGTTTCCTTTTCTTTTTTATTGCTGTCTAAAATATTTAATCACCCTTATGTATGTTCTGTCATAACAAATATGTCCCCTGAATTATATTTTACTCAGTGATTTACAAATTCATATGTAGAGTTTTTGTACTGAGAAATTATGTTTGTGTGGGGGAGTGGATTACCTCTAAAAATTGGGTATTTCAACATGGCAAAAATATTATATCTGGAGATCTCAACATGAGTAGGCAAAGTAATCCATTACATTCAGAATGTTTTATTTTCAATAAAATAATGAAAATTAGGTGGATTAGAAAAATGATAACACAATTTTAAATGAAAACAATAGGATAAGAGTGATTCATAGTCTTTTCTAATGACAGGGATTTTCAGAATTACATACTTTGCATTTCACAATGCAAAGTTTTGATATCCCTTCATCCTATAGAATTTATGGCAGCATTTTTAAGTGTCCAGCTTAAAATCCTAATTTCTGGTTTGGGTAACCTCAGTATTTTTCATAATCTTTCTTGAACAAGACAATAATAAGTCAGTGATTTTTTTTCAATAATCCTACAACTGAGTCTAATAGCCTTTCTGCTTGAAAAATTCTTTGTTTTTCTTCATTAATAAAATCTAGTCAGTGTAAAAGAGGACCTGGTTACATACTCTAAGATTTTTTAATTAATGATTTCTGGTTTTCCTTCTTTAAAAGACCTTTAGCATTCTGCAGGCATTCACATTGGTCATTTGCTTTACAATGGGCTGGCCCTCGTTGACCTATTTTTTGCCTCCTTTTAAAAGAGTTGCTTATCTGCAATTTGAGCAACCAGTTGAAGTTGTTTTTAAAAGTTTTTTAGGCCTTCTTCTTTTTTTTTTTTTTTGCCAGTGAACACAATGCTGCTTGATTCTAAGAATAAAGTCATCTAAAGTCATTAGTTAAAACCACCACTTTGAAATCACAAGGAAGGGACCAGTTAACAAGTAGAAGGAATTATTGTAGTAGTAAGAAATTGGGGGAATCTTGCCAGTTCCGCCCACTAAAGAGTATTTCAATGTTTATCATATCATCAGTGTCGCCTAGGCTGTTGCCTAGCAGTTACCTAGAGATCTATTTCACGTTTTATTTTGATTTAATAAAGTAAATCAAAGACTTTTGGTTTGCCTTGTTTGCTGGCTTCTTTATTTTACAGATGAGGCAGAAGTCTGCAATGAAACTTTTAACAGTTAACTGGGCTGCTGAAAGTCTTAGCCAGACTCTTTACGAATTTTCTTTTGAAAAGGCAAGCTGCCATCCTAGTAACTTTCAGGAGATCACTCTTGTAATTAAATCTAGAGGACAATGACCAGTTTTGCTGCCTAAAATCACAGTGGACGGGGGGCTTTCTAAATACCTAACCAACCAGCGGTATCCCTCTGAACATAACTGAATAACCAACCGATCACAGCATAACGAGGACAAGAATCAGGGAGACAAACCTATGTAACATCTCATGGAGAAGGCAAAGCTATGCTTTCCTAACTTTCCTCGCCATTTCTTCTCAGCTTCCCTTCCTCCCACACCACATACCCAGAAGCCACTCAAATTGCTAACCATGTCAAGTTTAACTTACTGCAGTGTGATGCAGGCGAAGGCTGGGCGCATCTCTGAAGGGAGAGCAACTGCTTTTCCGGAGAGGAACTGGGACTAGGCAGCTAGGTATCAGGATCCTTCCCAAGTCGCAGGCTCTCTGCTCAGTAAGAACGCTCCCTCACTGCTCGGCTTCCCCAAAGGAGTGGAGCTTCAAGAACTCTGCTCACAGCATCTCCTCCTCCCTACTTCCACCCCCTTCCAGACCACACGGCCCATTCTAACTGTGTCTAAGATGAAAATGCACTTCCAATCAACAACACAGGCTGCCTGCAGCTACCAGTCCCCGAAAATCTGCAACTCAAAAGCAGCAGAGCCTGAAAGACAGAGGTTTCCGGGGGCTGAAAGTCATCTTTGACACCCCCTTTTCCCACCTCTCACTCCTCCCACTCACCCCCCACCTTACCGAGGCCACCTCCAGTCTCCCACTCAAGCTAGTTATCACGGAGGATTGTTTTATTACCCATACCAATAAGCTTCAGAAGGGAACTGAATTTGTCAGAGATGAAATACCTGCTGTCCACGACTAATGCTCTTCTTTCATCGCTTTGAGTCCTTGATCAATTGCAAGATGAGTCGATATTGGAAATCTGTGGAGTGTGTGTGTGTGTGTGTGTGTGTGTGTGTGTGTGTGTGTGTGTGTTGGGGAGGAGGCAATCTTAGCGGCTGCAAGCAACAGCTCTGCCTATCTCTGGATGCCGTTGCTACTATTATTGCTGTTGCAGCTCAGAGAATGATGACACTGGGAGACGGTGCTTTATAGCTCTTTAACTGCTGGACCCTCATAACAAGTGGGAGGAGACGATGCAGGTATGAGTGGCTATTGTTGGGACACGAAGCTTGATGCAATGCAATTGCTACCATTCAGAATACATTTCCACTCCAACAGGAAACCTGATACCTGTCTCCCCTTTCTTACTAACTTTAGTCCTTGATGGGTCATTGCTCATCAGTCACCTGCTTAACCCACTTCTAGCTGCACACTCTTATTTCTACATTTGAACTTGGTAACCTAAGAGCAGGTGACTAGAGAATAAATGAAAATAAAAAAGAAAAGGAAAGGGGAAAGCAGTGAATATTAAAGGGAAATTGTATGTGTGTGTAACCAGTGGGGTTTAGATAAAAATGATAATTTTGAACCACGTGTGTAAAATCATGCATTGGATTAATAAAAATGGAAAGCAGTAAATGGCCATGCCTATTTTATAGAAAGTGTGCAAAACCAGATAGTTATTAAAAAGTGCATTTACCAGCTTAACTGAAGGCTATTTTGATATAGATACCTTTTGGTGGCTCAGGCTTCCCACATGACATTCACTGTGGTTTCAATGCAGTCGTCCCTCTGTTAGCTACAGACTCTAGCAAAAACCACTGGTCACTGCTGCCTGCAGACTCTCCTTTTTCTCTTTATTGGTTGCTCATTCTCTTTCCTAATTCATCTCCAGTATATTCACACATAAGATGATATTTACCAGAACTTAAAAGTTAAAGCAGTTCTCAAAACACACAAAAACTAGAATAGTTGTTAATGACCAACTTAATTTGCTCTAGCAATAGCTTTCTTCATGTATTAATTCTGTAATTGATTGGGTAACCTTGAACAACTCCTCCTAAATAACACACACATACACACACACACATACACACACTCCTCTTAATTGAATAGTACTATTAATTCACTTTCAGCATTCAGTTGTCTGAACTAAAAATAAAGTTATTTCCTTTTGATTTATTTGCCATGCACACGTTTCCTTATTTCTGTCTCACTCTGAGCAATTTTCATATTTGCCACTACTTTCCCAGGAGTTTGGGCTTCTGTAATGAGGGTTAAATTGGACAGAGGTTAATGCAGAAAGATGAAAGCCACAGAAAAGAAAGCAGGGAACCAAGAAGGAAGAAAGGAACTCAAAAGGATTAATTAATACCTCTCCTTTTGATCTGTTTACATTAGAAAATCTACAAAGGCTGGTGAATGTGAAAGCATTTATCAATTATCCAATAAACATTAGTTTACCAAAGCCAACCTAACTACAATTGTAACAGAAAACACAAAGGTTAATATTTTGCTTAAAAACATCATATACTATATAATACAATTTTAAAAGTATCCGGGCTTTTTAAAATTTCAAAATCCTAATAAAACATGATGCCAAATAGCCACATCTGTTTACCTTTTCATTGTTGGTCTATTAAATAGCTATTATATAATACACTATTTTTATTATTATTATTATTATTATTATTAAAATCTGAAGAGTAACTACATATTTTCATACTTACATATAAAACAATGTAAGAAAATAGGCAAAAGTAGTCTTGATCACTTAGAAATGTATTTGACACAGAGCATCAGCTTTATCCATAGGTGGTGTGATTTGAAGATTATCTTGCCCCTCAAATTCATATTTGACTAAAATTACCACAACCTGAAATTCCATAGTTTAGCATTTTTGTTTTGTTTGTTTTACCTTGACTCTTATTTTAAAATCCAAATATATTTAGGAAGAGCATTTATAATGTAAACATTCTTTAAAGAGATCATTTGTTAGTTACCGTTATTACAGATAAGCAAGACGCTAAACACTCATTCTAGGTTGAGATGGAAGGACCAGGAAGTAGTGAAGGAACTGGTAATAGACATTTAATATGAACTTAGTTGGCTTTTGGAAAATTGCTTTGAGCATTACTGAGGTTTAAGAACAAACGGCTTTCTTAACAAAACCATCACATAATTCCCAAGGTTTGGTAATGGAGATGAAAATTTTTAGTCCTGAATTGATAGCTCACCCTTAATGTCTGAATCTTCTACTTCAAGATTTTCTATTTTGTGGGGAAATTTACAAAATATTGCTTTATGACCTTGTGCCCGTCTCTTTAAGAGACCTCTTTACCCAACACTGGATTTTCAGAAACAATGGGACCTCTGTATAATTAATCAATGTCAAAAAAAGTGTCAAAAAATGAACTTGATTTATAAATTCTTACTGATCAACATATAGAAATATAAAAAGAAAAAGAAAGAATATAGAAAGAAATAACATCTTAACTTTCAATTAACTCTCTTTTATTATCAAAACATGCATTCCCTAACTAACTTATGCTTATTAATGACAGTTGTTTATTGGTGAAGACACAGAAGATTGTAAACTCTGTGATGATCAAAGCTATATTATTTAGTTCACTACTGTATCTCCAGCATCCATCAAAGTGCTTAGAATGTGGTATGTACACAGTCAATGACTTTTTAATAAAAGAGTGAATGTGTAAATGAATTAGCCTCTGAATGCAGAGCATGGGGAAGATGAGTTAACTGGAAATAAGGATGTTTAAATTCTTCCAGCCTACTCTGCTGGTAAATAACTACGGCACTTCTGAGAAATGACTCACTTCTTGTGGTCTCGAAGTATACTTTCAGAACTGTAACATAGAGATTCCACAAAACATAATACATGTGTGTCCCAGTACTGCTCCAAAATACTTTTATACTATAAAAACTCAATCAAGAAAATTCCTGAGAATCTCATTTCCTGAGCATTTTTCAAACCAGTGACATCAGGTCCTATTAATCACTGAGAAATACACAGTTTTCCTACTTTTTATTTTCAAATCTGCATCTAGTTTAGTAAGTACTGGACTGAACTAAATACTGAAAGAAAATAGCTTGTTACACATTTATTTATGTGCACATTCCTAAAAATTTAGTTCTGTGTCAAGGGTGGTAAGAAAGTTAACTTTCATTGAAATTTTATAAACCAAATGAGGTAAATTGTTTTAAAATATGAGAAACACAGCTTAAATAGTGAAATATCATAGGTTACTTGGATTAAATACAAGTCTATATTAAATCATAACCTTTTATGTAAATTGGTGCTCAAAAACACCTTGTCATGTTAATTTGATTCAACATTTATTGAGCATCTATTATGTGCAAAGCTTTGAGAAGAAAAGCATACTTCCATTAGCCACAGCATCTGTTTTTAAAGAACATATAATATATTCTTAAAATTTATCATTTTAAATGTTTAAAAACATTATACCTAAACTCATATCAAACATGATAAAAAACCTCTACCAACTTTGACTATGAATGATCAGAAGAAAGCTACTTCCCAATTTGAATAGACTGACACATGGGAATTTTTTCACTAATTTCCAATTAATGAATCAGTGGATGTAGGCTGGGAGGTTAGGACAGATCCAGAAAAGACATGATTTTGTGTCACTATCTTTAAAAAGAGTAATAATAATAAAATACTGAATTTGGGTAGGTCCTCAGATCTCCTTTAGTCCAATTCTTATATTTCATAGATAGGAAACAGTAGATTACCAGAGGTTATTGCTGGGAAAGCCATTTACCAGTCTCTTCATCTTGTGATGAATTGTACAATGCTAGACATGCAAGCTTTGGCATAAAAAAAAAGTCCTGCTTGTATTCCCAGACATGTCAATGACTACCTAGCTTTATGACTTTAGAAAACCATCTTTCCCAACCTCAGTTTTTACATCTATAACATGAAGATTTTTAAAGCTTTATTAAGGTATAATTTACAAAGAAAATCAGAATATATTTAAAATGTACAAAGTGATGATTTGTTATATGTACCCACTGTGAAAGGACTCTTACCATCAAGCTAATTAAGACATCCATTGCCTCACATATTTGATTTTTCTTTTTCTGCAAGACTTAATCTCTAATCTCTTAGCAAATTCCAATGACATGATAGAGTATTTTCACCTGTAGCCACTATGTTTTACATTTGATCCTCAGAATTTACCCATCTTGGAACTGAAATTTTGTACCCTTTTACCAGCCTCTTTCTGTTTCCTCTCACCCCTTCCATGGCAACAATCATTCTACGCTGTTGAGTTCAACGTTTTTTTATTCCACATATAAGTGAAAACAGCAGCACTTTTTCTCTGCCTTATTTCATTTAGCATAATGCCTTCCAGGTTCATCCATAATGTCAAAATGGCAGAATTGGTGCTTTACTATTATATAATAACCTCCTTTGTCTCTTGTTGTTATCTTTGGCTTAAAGTCTATTTTGTGGGTATCTATAGCTACCTTGCCTTTCTTTGTTTTCCATTCCCATGAACTGTCTGCAGGGTAAATTACTTATCTTTGATTCACTAAAATAAATTTCTGAAGATTTAAATTGTGTTTTTTTGTTTGAAACATATTCCCTTGCTTCTTCATCTTCCTTGACATTCTGTGTAGGTGTCTGAACATTAGATAACACAGTCACCTCCCCCAGTATTGAAAGGCTTGC